CCAAATCCATTGGCACTATCGTCCACATTGAAATGACACATGAATCATGGGCGAATGATTCGGCGACATTGAAATGACACGTGAATTATGGGTGAATTTATCAAGGATAAAATATCATTTACGTCAGGTATAAATCACGGTGAAGGTGGAAGCAAGTGACGATAATGACCGACCAGAAAAATTAAAATAAAAAAGGTCTAAATTGCCTTTTAGACAGTATTGTCCAATTCATGGGTATTTAGTCGTATGATATCGCTCTGTTATTATGTAAAGTGAACTTTTCCCATTTCAGCTCTAAGAAAGACCATGACATGACAACAGTTTCCACGACAAATATGGCAACGAGGAATCGACACTGATCAGCCTTTGATGATCTTATCCTCAACCGTCATTATTCTGAGTGTCAGAGTGGCCACTTCTGCTAAACGTCAAAGTCGTCCGTAACGCCACCAGGATTTACGGCTTGTCATCACCGCCTAAATCACCACCACCATCGCTCTTTGCCTCCCTTCTTCCTCGTCTTATTCCTCCTCGTGACGTCGGCGTCCACTCCGTTCCTCGTCCAGCTCCGCGTCCGCCCTCCCCCACCACCTGCCGCCCTCCGCCTCCACCATCCTGTCCGTCGCCAGCGCGTTCCCCGTCACCCAGCCCTGGGCGCCGCCCCCTTCCCGTCTCCCTTTGCTTTGATTTGCACGGTTCGCTCGTCAGAGAGCGAGCCTGCCTAAGTTTGACGCGTGTCAAGCGGCGTGAGCGGCGGGGGCGGCGGCGGCGGCGGCGGCAGCGCGGCGTCGCGAACGCGCGGCTGCCGCTGCACGGCAAAAACCGTCGCCTCGCCCCCCCCACCCCGCCCCGCGCGCGCCCCGGACGGCTCGCCGGGGTGTGGAAGTCGCCGCCAGGCAGACGGAAAAAGTGCGCTCGCCCCCGCCCCCGCCGCCCGGGTGCTGCCTTCGCCGCCGCGCCGCGCGCGTGACAGATGGCCGCGCGGCTGAAGAACAGAAGAGTCGGATGACAGCGCCAGATCGATCGTCGGAAGGCGTGGGCGGCCGCGCCGCAGCCGCAACAGGCTCACGCCTCTGCCCGCGGCGAGGGCGCCCTGAACCGTTTGCGGTTTGGAGGGAACAATTTTCGGAAAAACAAAATGCGGACGCACGAATCTACAATACTAATATCGTGTGCGTCAGAGTGATAACAAGGAGCGGATTTTGATGACCTAAAACATCGCCAAAAATTATCAATAAAATCCTCTTAAAATGTTTTTAAAATGCCCTAAAAGCAATTTTAAAAAACGTAAAAAAAGTTATTCCAACCAATTCCGATGAACAGCTCAAGGTGTTGGATATGTTACTGATGTAATGTAGGCTTCTGGTTTTCGTTGAAGTTACTGAACTTACAAACTTTTAGTTTGGAGGAAATCTCTGTTTTTAGTTATCGTGAATTCGGCCAAACCGACAATGGCACTGTTAGACGCCACAGGAACCTGAGATTACACACTCACAACGGCTGACATTACAATTACTGTGTGCAAGGAAATCAAATAGGCTCCTCTGGAATTCTGTGATATCATTTGTTGAATCACGTAAATATTATTTCAAGTAAGCACCATTTAAATGATATTAAAATGCATGAAATCGGCAAAAAATTCTTTTAAAATAACGAAAAAATGTAAAAAGAAATGACTCAATAGTCGTAATCAATAAAAAATGCAAAAAAAGTATTATAAAAACGAATCATTTAACATAAAAAACTGTGTATACTAAAAAGGTTCGTTCCCAATTGAAAAGAAAAAAGACATTTCATTAAAATCCGCCTCTAAGCAATCTATGCTATGCGAGGGGTGTCATTCTGGCCAAACACCCTCGGGCGTTTTGTCGCCGCTCCGTCACAAGAACCCTTATTAGCCCGTGGGACATACATAATTTTAATTTTTACCTCATTTTATTTACTCCGATTTATTTATTTACTAATGAACTAGATGATAACTTGACTCAGTTTGTCTTTTCCTATTTCCCTCTCAATAATTCCCTTTCATAATTCCCTCTTCTAATTTCCTCCGTAAGGAAGCAAGTAGCATCAGTCAACTGTTTTCATATTTCCTTCGCAACTACGTTCCTCTCGATGCAGGTAAGTCATGCAGCGTATGTTGAACTCGGTATCAAAGGCAATAACAAGCTACAATGAAATAGAAAAAGTTACAAATAATTTATTTTAAAAGCCGATAAAAACAAATTATCTATGGGAGAGAGTTCTTGGTGTTTTCGGGCGCGTCAACTACTTTAGTCATTAGTCCCGTTAGTGTAGTGAATGTTTTTTATACCTGAGGTGGCGGTGTTTCTACCCAGCTTGTACGAGAGATCTACTGGAACCCACACCTCGGCTGGGAAGGGAATTTCGCGACCACATCTCCAAAGGGGCACCGCCTGAGTCGGGAGAATTTCTTACTTCCCGACTGATTTCCCGACAAGAGTCCTAGTGTAGAGCATATGTGAGTGTGTCTGTGTGTGTTTTTACTGATAGAGAAGGAAACAAGAATGAGGACAGAAGAGCGCGCGCGTTTCGTGGCAGGTTTGTTAAACCGGCATTCGCCTGTATTGACCGGAGGATGCATCGCATCAGAGTACCGACTGTTTGAATTCCTCACCAGAGAACGGCTGAATTCGGCCTACTTATAAAACTAGTGCCGAAAATCCGCTAACGGAACCAGAAAAAACATATTCTCCCGCAAGGTAAATACCACCAAACTCATTACCACCAGTCGCACGACGAACTCAACCTTCCCAGCACTTAAAAAAACAAACTGATCTTTTGCATTATTCACAAATTGAAGAGATTCATTTACCATATTTCAAGATCTAGTTTTAAAGAACGCATTTCATAAAGGGAAAATGTCTCCATCATAAATTCTGTATTTGTGTAATTTTTATTTTTTGTCCGCCATTTTCGAAATTGAGAGTTTGACGAAAATGGTACTTGCGCTATTATTAAGCGTTATTTACATTATTCGAAAAAAATGGAGATGCATTTGAGAATTTTTTTTACAAATTACTTCAAACCAGGCAAAAGTTACGGGTAATCTACTTGTTTTTTCAAAGGTTTGTTCATGGCTTTCTTTAAATATCTAATATTTTAGAAAAAAATCATTTAAGAAAAATGTCCATAACACAGGCTTTAAAAAATTGTTGGTCTGCCTTTTCGGTTTGGTTGACTGGATCTAACGTTTTGTAGTGCGCCCATGAATGGCAACCGTTTTGGCCTGTAACGTTAGGTTTTTGAACCAATGGGTAGTTAACGTTTAAAAACTTCTCTTAACTCAAATATTTTATTTACTTAAAAAATATTAACTCATTTGCATAAGGGACGACAAAATTAACACCAAACTTAGTCAGATTGCGGGCGAAATCGTCTTTTTTTAACTACAAGCGTCTTTTCCTCTTCCGGAAGATCACTGTAAAACATTCAGAAGTAGTCAGCCATCCGCGTAACACTCCATTTCCCTTGATACCTTGCTTTCCAATTCTTTTATTTTTTGGTGGAAACGCTCTTCTTCATCTTCACTCACTTCTCCCACATTTTTAGGAAAATAGTCAAGATGTGAGTTGAGAAACCGGACTTTCAAGGTCATGGAGCAACCAAGCTTTGGGAACCCTTGCAACACAGTTAGCACCATTTCCTTATAATTTGGTTTTTTGGTTTCCCAAAAGTTTTTTTGATCACATTAATGGAAAACCGTGCTTCTTCTTGAGTGGGAGTCATTTAACTGAAGACGTCTTTGTAGGATGTGTGTTTTCTAGTATCCAGGCCAACAAATACCTACTCTTTCAGTTTTGACTCCGATAAAGCTGGAAACGTTGATCCCAAGTACTTGAATCGCTGTCTTTTGTAAGTGCCTTAACAAATTGCGTCATTAATTCTTGTTTTATGTATAAGTGGTAACAAAACCTTCTCAGGGATACCAATGTTTTCCAAAGCACATTTTTTCAACAACAACTATATTTCTTGGCGGCAAATTTTTTCTCTAAGTAATTTTCCAGCTATATACTGCCCTATAAACGTAGGAAACATAGGTATTTAGTTTACGTAGCCTGGAGCTGCTGTCCCTGTTCCGTATAGAATTTTTTTCCAATTTCCACATACCAACTAGTTTTGGTTTTGGATAACACACTTTCTTGAGTACCAACTCCACGTTCCCATATATATCAGACTATGAGATCCATCGACCCCTCTGAATCTCATCAAAACACCAAATCGCCCTTATAGGAAAAATATGACAGCCTTTTTCTCGATATCAATTCCATGCAAAAGATGTACCTTCCATCGTCATTTTCTTTTTTCTTTTTGCTTATAAGGTACATAGAACTAGATTTCTCACCAAATCATTAAGTTCCTCTTGCGAGAAACGTTGTGGTTCGTCAACTTCGATATCTAAACAAATTGAATCATCTTCAGGCTGCGGTACAGTTCCATTCTCGTCAGGCAAATAGACTTTAAGTTTGTTGGTGGGTCAGGCACAGGGACGTCTGGATCATCGGGATTGGGACGTACACCAGATGCAAGATTGGGATCCGTGATTTCCGCTTTCCAATTCTAGTACCTTGAATTTTTAATGTACACTTTGTTTTTTGAGGTTAATTTACATGAAATCTGATCTGCGTTTTCAATTTTTTCTCAAAAAGAACACTAAATTTTCTTCACTTTTTTAGCAAAGTAAAGTACGCTTATAAAAACGCCACATGTCCGATATTTGTTGAATTTTCTAATTATACAAAAATTGTATTTTTTTAGGCATGCGCGTACAACTACAATACTGAAGATTGAGGTTTTACTTCTAAATGATATATTTTTCAAAAATAGATTTAAGTTACGAAAACTTTTTCAAAATATGAGAATTTTCGCGTAATTTTGTTTGAAATAAATATGAAATTGATAATATTGATTGATTCTTGATTATAATATTGATTGTAGATTGATTTTTGAAATAAAAGCAATATCAAACAGAAAACTTTGTCAAAAACAGTTCAATTTTTTAAAACATTTAATAGATGAAGGCAAATACTCTGTTACACATAACATAAACATTACTTGGATGAAATCTTTTAAGTTGTTAAAAATCACACACATGTATGTTCAAGTAGTATTATATTACGTATCCGTTGCAAATAAGCGAGAAAGAACGTGCTGTTATAAATCAATTAATTTATTAACTTATATAAAATTATGTCACAAGAGACCATGCCGGGCGAGTACCGTAGAGTTTTCAACACCAGAATCTTTTCTGAAAGGTCGTCATGAATCTTGTCTGTCATCTCTGCCTGAAAGGTTTTCACAGAGAGGGCATTGTGAGCTAATGCTTTGCCTTAGTGAAGATCCCACAGATCAGCAACTGTCTTCGCAATCGTCCGCAAAATGTTGTCAAACCCTCCTTGTACAAGAGCTTCACCATTTGACATTCTGGATCTCAGTTCACCTAAACTGTCTCTCTGAAATTAACAAAAAAATCATCGTTGCTTTGGTTTTCTTTGCTATGCTTTATTTTCTTGGTGAAATAGCATTTTCCCAATTTGCGGTCTGGCGCGTGGTATTATAGCCGTATTGCAAAAATCATATAGCGTTACATGTCATTACATTCTCTTTTATAACATTCGGGAGCGTCAACACAAATGTTCATGTGCATTTTGTTTTGAGTGAGGAATTTGGGTTCGATATTCGAACCCATTTTCTCATGTCAATATTGTAATTTAAAATCTCTAAGTAAGTTTCCTTGACAATATTTACCATGAGAGTGTAGGCTTCCGCGGTCGGAGTCAATATTTTCTTGGCTGTCTGGGTGACGCCGCGTCTATGGCGAAGGTGCCGATGTTTCAGTCGCCATTCTACGACCTTCCTCCTTCCTGCGACCTTCTGCGACCTTGGGCATTACGCCCTGAGGAAGGTCGCAGAATGGCGACTGAAACGTCGGCACCTTTGCCATGGACGCGGCGTCACCCGGACAACCACGTAAATAATATTTACCATGGCAATATCATGAATGCTCAAGTGACGATTTTCTCGAACAATTTCAGCTGCTCTTTGAATAAAGTGTCTGTCTTTGAACTCGAAGAGCAACCGAAGAAATCTCCACTGCCCTCGTTAAATCTCTTAAAACACTCGAAAATGTGTAAAAAAATAACTATCTTCTTAAACTTTCTTCAACAAACCTCGCAGCGGCGGATTTGCCAAGTTTCTCATGGAGCTTTACTTTCACGCGCTGCTCATCGGTCATATGTAACATATCCCGAAGAGCGGCGCGAACACGATGCTATACTGTTATGACCAAAACAAGTTAATTTCGTAAAACAGTTTTTTATTTACAATTGCTAAATATACAGAGAAAGCCGTTACCATGCGTAGTCACAAAACAACCAGGATATTTACTGGGGTCGTGCCAAATTAACCAAAAGCCGAAAAGATGTCCAAGCACGATGCCGTGGACACAATCCACACACCCGAAGAGAAGTTCGTAATACTGGCCGGCAGCATAGTCACTCAATACTTGCACTCCCGTGGCTCGCACTATGACGGGACGATTGGAACTGGCTTCACGGCTTGCTGCGCGCCGTTTTATACCCGGTCAGGGCTGAAGGCTCGCTCACTGGACCGGCCGTACGGCCGATGCGCGCTCGGTCGCGCCGACCAAAGCGTGACAGTTCCGCTGAGCCTGACCTCAGCGACCTCATGTGAGCGGCGCCCTATTTTCCCGGGGCGCCACCGCCTCGCTGCTGCGCCCCGGTGCCGGTTCTTTCAAAGGGGCACAGGCGGCTACTACAACTATGACCGTCCATCTGTCATATGTGGAACCTTAAAACTTTAGCAGCAAATGGAGGAAAGATATAGTAGAAACCTATTCTTCTGATAGAATCTGTCGTTGGATCGAAGCTCTATATTGAAGATCATCCGAAGTCATATCTAAAGCAACTCATGTAATTAATTGGATTCCAAGTTTTACATGTTACTCGTAAAGAACACACAACAAAAATATAAATTAACACACTCAAATACATCAAGTTACCATGGATATCTCATCAGGTAACTGTGCACAATCACGATCGCGTAAAATAATAATCATAAACCATACATAACTTGTAACCCACCATAAAACCCGAAGTCATATCTACAGAGACTCATGTAATTAAATGGATTTGGACTCATGTAATTAATTGGAATCCATGTTTCACATGTTACTCGTAAAGAACACACAACAAAAATATAAGATAACACACTCAAATACATCAAGTTACCATCGGTATCTCATCAGGTAACTGCACAATCACGATCGCGTAAGACAACAATCAAAAACAATACATAACTTGTACTCCACCATAAAAAGTTTATTCAGTCAAAGCTTTCAGAAGCGGAACTTGGTAATAACCGGAGAATTGCCTTCAACAAAAAATGTCTGCACCATTCGTTTAATATATAAAATACATGTAGCTTTAGCTGCTGTTAACGGAACCTTCTGAACGCGGAAACTTTTATCAGTTTATTTTGAGCTGGCAAACTGGTGGTTGCGGAAAGGGGAGACATCAGATAAAGGAATGACCTTCACGGCTGCTTGGGGTACTTAGGACGACTCACTGGAAGTTCACTGGAAATCAGCGAAGAAACCGCGCAAGTTTTTAGAATGGTTCCTGCAAAATCTCTGCAATGCGAAATGCGTGTGCCGCTGGCAAATTAAATAAAGAACTCCTTACAATGTTACTTTTCTGCAGCGCACAAGGTCAATTTAATCGGCTATTGGTCATTGGAAAGGCACACTTACTACTTTGCTTCTTACATTTGTATATTCGTGTTCCTTCCAGTTCAATGGAAGGTTAACAAGAAAGCTTGGATGACAGCGGCTATTATGGAAGAATGGCAACGGGCATTTAATGCACAAATTGTAAACCAAAACAGGAAACTTCTGTTGTATCTCGATAACGAAAATTGCCATTCTCATTTTTCCATACAAAATGTGAATTTGTGTTGATTACCTGCGAATTCGTCCTTTTTCGCTCAGACTCTCAACCAAAGCATCATTTACATATTTAAATTGCACTACAGATCCTTGCTTAAGCAATCAATGCTTACTTATTCACATTGACGAATTTGATTTCGTGTCACAGCTGAAAGAATGTATCACTGTCTTAGACGCCGTGCATTGGATACCAAAATCATGCAAAGAAACGCTGCCGTCGTCGGCCATAAATTGCTTCCGTAAAGTAGAGGTCTGCCCGCAGGATGGAAGCAGTACAGAAAAGAGCCGTCACCGAAGAAAAAGTCCACCGTCTTCAAGACATGTTAAATAAGGTGAACCTGAAGAAACTCACCGCAGAATAATTTGTCTATTGTGCTGGTCAAGTGCAAACAGAGGATAAACATTGCTGGGATGTGCAGTTGAGTTCCGCAAGACAAAATCTACCGTCTGGCGAAGACGAAAGTTCGGGAGAGGACAAGAAGGAAGAAGAAAAAGAAGCAATGAAATCAGAAATTCGATGAAAACATATCGTGATGCACTTATGCAAATGTAGAACTATACTTTTGCTTCACAGAATAACTATTAAATATTAAATACATTGAATGCAGTTTGAATGTTGTTGATAAAGAATCATTAATAAAGAAAAAGGCAAAAACAAACAACCTATTAATAACAGAAAACTGCCTTTAACGCAAATTCCAATTGGTCCCGTCATCTTCCGTTATAAGCAAGTTTAACTGTATAAACTTTCGTTTCCATCACGTCACAAGTAAATAATAAACAAAAAAAATATTAACACACTTCAAACCATGAAGCTAAAATTTCATCAGGTAACTGAGAATAAATACTATCGCACGTGTTAACTTGACATTGTACTTTATTCTATACTAACCTTTACATAATTGGATGTTAGTAATCAATCTTCATTCTAATTACATCAGTCTGGCTTGTAAATTAGCAAGTTTTTTATTATCCCAATAAAAAATTCACAATTATTCAAGGAATCGACTAATCATTAAAAAATTCCTGAATTGATTACGACGCAGACAAGTGGTAAATCAGTGACTAATAATAAGCTTTCTTTAAGGTTACGCCCAATATATCAAAGGAAATGGAATACTACTAGTGAATACGACAAAAAACACAACAAACACAAAACAATCTGGTTAAATAATTTCACAAGTTACGTACTCTTTTCAATTCTTCTTTCTTCTCTACGCAATTCACTTTCCTTTGAACATGTTTAGAATAGAAAATTTTCTCAGACAAAACTTTCAACACTAAGCAACACATTATTTACACTTTCTTTAAAAGAACACATTACTGCATGCATTGAAAATTATGGATGTACGCTTTCATGGCACGATTTTATTCATGAAATATTTCAGGAACGATGCAGTGCCGGTCTGATCTCCCCGGGTAATGAATTCGAAATTTCTCGGTGTCACAAGTGACCTGGAATAACAGAAAAAAAGGCGCTTCTTACTGACCTCAGTCCTCGGGCGTGATTTTGGCGGTACGAAACCTGCAGCGGCAGTAAGATAATATACATTTATTTGAATTGCAAATGGGCGTAAACCGGTGGCAGCTAATTATTTAAATAAGATAATAAAGCTAACATGCAAATTATATAATAATAATAATAATGGTACAATAATAACCATTGAAACAATAAAAACAACTGCTAAAACAACGATGATAATAATAATATTAATAATAAAAATAATAATGATATAAAAACTGTCAAATTTATAACACATTAAATTACCTTCAGAAAAAGAAACTCAGCACTGATTGTGTGTTCAATTAAGTCGACACTCCACTGCACTTCACTTCATTTCACTTCACTTCACTACGACCCTTTAATCACTTCCATCATTATTTCTCTGTTCTACACTGCACGACACCTCACTCACAATATATCACCTACCCAACGCTCTATACCTTACTATTCTCAGCTAAGTCCCGCATTTACTTAGTAATACCCTAAACTAACGTTCTAAATTGTTGAACACAACGAGGAAAGGGCTCAACGGTTTTGCAGGCAATCTATTCCATTCCGTTCTCCTCCGAGCGATCCGCTCGGTATTGCCAACCTCTCCTCTCGAAAACTTGTTACTAAAAACCTCCTTCCGAATCCTCTCCAAGGATGTCCTCTTTCGCCTACCCCTGTGGACGCCACGTCACGGAGATGTGGCTCGCCCCTTCCTCGCTAATTAGGTCCCACGCCGGCGGCGATTTGGGGCACGTCCACACTCCGAAATGGAATTCCGAGTGAGCGAAGTGGCCCAGGCAGGTGGTCCCAATCCTCAAACCTGAGCTACTTCGCTGCACCGGGATTGGAAATTTTTGCCGATTTGAAACACGTTTGCCGGATCGTGTAGTATAATAATATTGTATAGGCATAACAAGCAAGTCGAGAAAGTATATGCTGTTGAAGCCATTTTAGTAGTAAATAAAATGTTGATAAAAATTATTTAAGTATTT